CCGATAGCTGGTGCTGAATCTGACTGCTGAGCAGGAGGAACCAGGGGAGGAGGAGTTGATGTTGGGGGCAAAGCTCATTGGGAGGAAGTGCTGGTGACATCTGCAGGGGAGGGTGTCGTGGTCAGGGATGGAATGGCCAGGGGCCAGCAATAGCTAGAGCTGTGGAAATGCATATCCCTCTGAGACCTGCAGGGACATTTCAGTCAGAAATTGGACAATGTCTGAAATTTCCACGATTATATAGTGTGCCAGTTATGGACAGATTGCCTCTCAGGTCCATACTCACCCTTTTTTGCATTCCTTTTGATAACTTCTTTTGCCTTTGGCTTGATGTTAAGCTCTTGGTATTTGAAATACTAGTGCTTTACTTGATAACAGTGCATCTAAATTCCAAAATCAATCTCCACAATAGTCTACGTGTTTCCTATTCCCAAAGGGGCCCTTTAGGGTAGTGAGAGAAGATCTTCACTCTGAAACCTCCAGCATCCTTTTTCAGCAGGAAGTAGCTAAGAGAATATGCCGTCCCCTTTTCCTTATGAATCAGAGTCAAGTCTCTCTCAGGGAGGAATGATAGGGAATGGCAAAGGACACACTGACCAAGGAGATTAATCAGAACTGGTTTTGACAAGCACTGTGGCAATGGGACAATTAAAACAGACTTTCAAGGGGGGAAAAAAAAAGAGAAACGAACGGGGGGAGGAGGTAGAGAAAATAGTGCAACGATGAATGAATGGAAACCCAAAAGCTCTGTAAATGTTCATGAAAATTAATAAAACTTAATAAAAAAATGATAAACAAAAAAAGAAATACTAGTGCTTCGATTTTTCAGCATCATAGTAGCACGCAAGCCACCAGAGTAGAGAAACTGATCGACAATTGTGGCAGAGATCATGCCGATGGCGCAGGCTAGGAGAAGTTGTTCAGAGTCTGTTGTTCATAGGGCGGTGGTTGTTGTTGTTATGTGCATCGAGTTCATTATGACTCATAGTGACCCCTAGACAATGGCTCCAAACCTTGCCATTTCCTGAGCTAACCTAAGCATCTCTGACATGCCTGACCCCATTACCACAGCCACTGTGTCAGGCCGTCTCATCCAGGGTCTTCCTCTTCTGCGATGACACTCCCCCCTTCCAAGCAGGATGTCTGTCTCCTAGGACCGGTCTCTCCTGGTGATATGGCCAAAGAATGTGAGAAGGAGCTTCAAAATTCTTGCCTCCAAAGAGCAAACTGGTTTCACCCTCTCTAGGGTGGATCTGTTTATTCTCTTGGCTGTGGTATGTTCCATCCTCTTCTTCCGCGCCCCAACTCAAAGGCATCATTTCTTCTGTCCTCCTCATTCATTACCCAACTCTCAGATGCATAGCAATCAACTGAGACAACCATGGCCTGGTTCAGATGCATTGTAGTCAGATTTGCTAACGGCATCTAACAACAACTGCAGTGCAACACCTGTGAGCAGCCTTCTCCACACCCCGGCGGGGTACCTTCACATTGACTATGACTCACGGTGACCCCACGTGTGTCAGAGTGGAGCGGTGATCCCCAGCTCTCTCCACTGGCTGACTTTTGACAGTGGAGCCCTAGACCTTAGGGAGCTCCTGGTGCCACAGCCAGTAAGAGGCTGAGCTAACCCAAAAGTTGTGCCTCCCTTGTCATTCAAGCCCACTAGCTGTTCTGAGAGAGAACTGATCAGCTATTAGCATAATTATGTGCCAGTTGAATGGTAATGAGGTTGATTTTTTTTTTTTTTAGTTCTTCAGAAGAGACTTGAACCTCCAACCTTTGAATAATCAAGGGCTTACTTCACTCTCCTTCCTTTCCAGGCTGGCCCACCCTGGCTTCTCCATCATTCCCGGACCACAGCTGTGCCCTTCCTGCTGAGTCTGGATCTCTGGCCTGGAAGAGGATGGTCTTGCTCGGATCTTGAGATAGTGACGGTTCCTCACGCTTTTCCCTGCTCCTCCTGTTTGTATTCTTCCTGCTCCTTATCTGTCGATTCCTTAGAACTCAAACCCCGGTTAGAGCTAATAATTTTTTCTATTAAATATTCTGTGCTTACATTACGGTGTGGTTTCTGCCTTCTGATTGGACTTAGACTCATTAAAAGAGGATGGGGCCTGGGGCTGATTACTTGGGTGCCCAGGGAAAGAGTCCCCAGGAGACTAGAGGAACTGGAGACATCAGGGTTTACGCGGTCTTAGGCTGAACTCTCTGGAGAAGCAAAGCCAGTGAATATCATAAAGGGAGAGAAGATCTCTCTCTATTTTTATTTTATTTCCATTCATTCATTATTGCACTTTTCTCTCTGCCCACCCCTCTCACCCCAAGTTCACTCTTCTCTTTGAAAAGTAAAAGAAAAATTCTTTCATTGTTATGTTACACAATCCCTCCCCCAGGTCCACTCCACTCTGCAGCCTTCACTCTAGACTCCTGTCATGACAAAAATACCTAATCACACATCCCTTTTAAACAGTTCTCTCCCTCGTCTGTTTCAATGCAGTATTCATTATTTATCCCCTCTTTCTCGGTCTCCTCTCAACTCTGATGTCAGTCCCATTTTACAACAGTGGCCCTTTGCAGTATTTATTCCTTTGTGGCTGAGATACTTCACTCAGCATAATGTCCTCCAGGGTCACCCGTTTTGAATAATATTCATGAGTTTCTTGTTTTTCAATGCAGCGTAGTATTCCATTGTGTGAATATACCACAGCTTCTCTATGCATTTGTTTGTTGATGGGCTCTTAGGTTGTTTCCAGCTCTTTGCTGTTGTGAACAAAGCCACGATAAACATGGGAATGCATATATCTGCTTGGGTGGCAGTTATGGTTTCTTTGGGGTATATTAGACATGTATTTGTACAGGTTTATACAATGACTTTTTTGTGTGTGTGTGTGTGCATGTACCGTCAAATCAGATCTGACTGGTACAGGAGGAAAATTGTCCCTCCTTCTCTGGCAGAGTATCTGGTGGATTCGAACCGTCTACCTTTGGGATTGCAGTACAGCTTCTTGCCACTAGGCCACCAGAGCTCCCCTGAATCTATTGTTGTTAAGTGACGTCAAGTCATAGATGATTCATAGCGACCCTATGAACAAAAGACCTGAACACGTGTATAGCTTTCATTGTTCCTCCCAGTTCACAGGGTTTCTTGAGGCAAGCTATCTCAGAAGTGGATGCCACTCCTCCTTGGATGCCACTCCTCCTTCCAAGCTTTTTTAATTCGGGAGCTCCATCAAACACTGTCCACCATGGGTAACCATTCCTGCATTTAACACATCAGTGTCACAGTGTTTAGCATCACAGAAACCAAGTTACCTCTGAACATATTACTTCTGTCATCTTGTTATGTACCTTAGAGTGAGGAATAGAAATAAACAGTGTAACAAAGTGTGAGAACTGCAGTACAGGAAGCAGGCTGGGCACACGGAGGGGCGCACTAATCCCCTGAAGCACGCGGCGGTGGAAGTTGCGTGAGGCTCCTCATTGGAGATGACTGTTGAGTCCGGAGGGTGAGGGGGTGAGCTGCAGAAGAGATGCCTGCCCAGGGACAGCCTGTGCATACTAAGGGGAGGAGGCAGGCCCAAGGGAGCGATGTGGTGGGATGAGACAGTCACTCCTTCAGCAAGGACTGCTCCTGCCTGTGGCCGCCAGGGTGGAGAGTTGGGTCTTCCTGGCCACAGCCACCTAGGGGGTTGCTTCTAAACTGTGGGAGTGTGAGGGGAAATCTGATGCTCTCTGTCTTGCAGACTGTTGGTAGCTTTGAGGATTCCCCCTTCTACATTTTTTCCAGTCTCCTGCTTTCTAGAGCAGAGCTGATCAAGAACTCAAGAACTTGGTGCCTGAAGTCACCATTTATGCCTTTGTTTGCCTCCCACTCTGGTGGCTTAATAGTAAGGAGTAGCGCTGCCACCTCAAAGCCCTGAGACTCGAATCCACCCCCTGATCCATAGGAGAATGATGGGCAATCTCCCTCTGAAAATCCAGTGGAGGGTCTGCTAGGAGTCAAGTGTGAGGTGTGGTTTGTGTTTGTGGTTTTGGCTTTTTTTTTTTTTTCCCCTTCCTACTGGCTGGCCAGTTTCCCACTGGGTGAAGCAAGGGTCCCAGTAAGACACGGACCCCTCAAAGGAAAGGATGACTTTGCTGAATGTCCCTCACACACGCAGGGCCCTCTGGGTGATCCCACCCCTAAGTCCTTTCACCCTTTTCCCCTCACTAGGGTCTGAGAGATGGCCAAGCCTTTCAGTCCTTTCTCATTTTTTTTTTTAAACTTATTTTATTCTGCTTTACTTACAAATTCCATATTCCTTGTCTTCCACACCGGATCTTTCCCATTTCTTTAACTTACCCCTCCCTCCACCCATCAAATTGTGTGACCCTATGATTAGCTCCCACCCATCCGCACCCCTGTGCTCCCGGTGACCCCTTCGCCCTCGGACGCCTCCATCCTCAGGCACGTTTTACGAGTTAACTATTTCTACAATAATGGTCTTTACAGTATTTGTCCTTATGGGACTGAGTTAGTTCACTAAGCATAATGCTCTCCAGTCCCTCCCAAGTCTCATTTACATCCAGAGTTATTTCCCCTAATAAATTCCTTCCAAGGTTACGGTTACTGGCTGCCCTGGCGCCTGCTCCTTGGAGGCCTCACAGCTGACGCACCAAGGACGTCTGCGTTCCTTTCCTCCTCCGTGCCTGGGGCTACCTTTGGGGACAGGTCAGTGGCTCCGCACCCCCAGGCTCCTAGCAGCCTTTGCTCTGACTTCTGTGCATCCTCCCTCATCTCCACCAAATCCCTTGGGTTCTGGAGTAAACCTGGCCTGGGTCCCAATCCCACCGTCCCCTCTGCCTTTCAGCCACCTCCGCTTTACTCCTTCCACTCAGAACTACTTTTACTTTCTGGTGTTGGCAGCAGGACAAAGATGAGTAGTGTCCTGAGTCTTGCTAGAGACATGTGTCCGGCATTTCTTGGTGCCACGGAGTGTCTGTGCTCTGCCGTCAATTCACAGAGGGTAGGGAAGGGGCTTGGTCGCGTTTGCAGCCCTTAGTGGGCGTTTTCTGGCGGCTCCTTGATCCGGCCTTGGCAGGAGTGGATCGTCCCAAAGCAAGTCCCGGGAGAAGCCCAAGAGCAGAAGGCCCCACAGTGCGGGCTCGGCGGGCGGCCCGGGATTGGCGCGTGGCGGGCGCCGGGGTGGGTGTGCGCGGTGAGTGCCGGGGGTGGGGCAAGGGCGGGGTGACGGGAGGAAGGGGCCGCCCCGACAGAGCTGCCGCCGAAGCCACGAGCCGAGCCGCCGGGGGCGCAAGGGCCGGGTGGCTGGAGCAGCGGCCGCGCCGGGCGGATCGCGCAGAGCCGGGCACGCTGTCGACTCGCCGGGCGGAGCGCGCACAGCCGTGCCGCTTCCAGCTCGCCGGGCGCGGGCGCAGTAGCCGCGCGGAGCCCCAGCAGCCAGGTGAGTGACGGCGCTGGTACAAAGGCGCGCGGAGGCGTCGTGCGCTCTGGTCGGGGTCGCGGAGCCGGTGGGGGTCCCGGTCCTGGAGGCATCGGGCTCGGGCGCGCGCTCCCCTCGGCACCCTCCCCGCCACGGCCGCGTCCGCGGAGAAAGTTGCCACTTCCCGGGCTCTGTCCCGCCGCGTCCGGATCTTAGGGGCCCGGCGGCGCCCTGGCTGCGAGTTGTGGGGTTGCGGGACACGCGCCCGGGGTGCTTTCTTTTTCTCAGCGCGCGGCGGGACCGGGGAGGAAAGTCCTGTGAAGCTCGGAGCACACCGGGGGGACCCTCCGTGGGCTCCCGGGGCGTCTCAGGGAGCAGGCGACGCCCAGGCTGCGGGGAGGACTCGGTCTGTTCAAGAGCTGCGCGCTCGGGGCGCCCCCGGCCGGCCACCGTGGTGAGGGGCGCAGGACTCCCGGGGCGGGGACGAGGGGCGACTCGGGCGGAGGAACAGCCTTGCCAGCGCCCCGCTGCGCGTCTGGGACCGGCAGGTCTGCTGGGGTGGTTGTCGCTCCGTGCGCCCCGGGGGTCGGCGTCACTGGACAGTCCTACGGTGACAGCCGCCTGCAGGTAGAGAAGGAATACTGCTAAAATGCTTTTTCTCTTTAAGAAACTTAATCTTGATGGCTTCCCAGGCCTGCTCTCGTCCGTTTTGTTTTTCTAAATAGAGAAAAGACTGTTTCATTGGGGGCTGGGGAAGGCTACTTCTGAAGGTAATGGCACTTTCCTCGCTGGTGGTGGCATCTGGTGGTCAGGTTCCCTGCGGGGTGAGAAGACTGTGGTAGAGAGTTTGGGGTCCTCTCCTCATAGCTCTTCGCTCCCGTGCAGCCGACATCCTGATTTTAAACGCTAACACCTGGCTTTCACCACCTTCCTTTCAACTAGACTAAAGTCAGCTGGGGAAGGGGTAAGTCCCTCCAGTTATCTGGCAGGTGTCGACCACGTGCTGCCAGTATTTCAGATCTAGGCTCTTCATAAAAGTGCCCACTGCCAGCCTCACAGGTTGGAATGGCAGCGAGATCTTATGTGCCTGAGCTCTCTGAAGTGTTTCCTGATGATTTCCCTTTTTATGTTTTAAAAATGGAGCATCAGCTGGTGTCATTCCCAAACCAGTTAGTTTCCTATCGAACTTTATAGGATAAGAATTTGGAGATTTTGTCATGAATGAATGTTAAATAAACAGACAACAAAAGCAAAAAAAATAGCGCATGGTTTTGTTATTGTTGTTTACAGTTGCAAAATTCAAATAAAGCAAATTTATTGCCAAGGATGCGATTCCGACTTGAAGTGACCTTATAGGACAGAGTTGAGCTATTCTGTGGGATTTCCAAGGGAGCTCTCGTGGCTTAGCGGTTTGGAGTTACTCTGCCAATCCAAAGGCACACGGTTTGAATCCACCAGCTGCTCCTTTGGCAGCCTCCTCCCTGGAGATTTACTGCCTCCGAAAACCCACCGGGGTGGGGGTGGGGGGTCAGCTATGAATCACTTCTGACTTGATTGATACACAACCACAACATAGGTTGTCCACCACTGTAAATCTTTCCCAAGTAGATTGTGGAGCATGTTCAAACCAGTGATTTTTCAGTTTCTAGCCAAGAGCTTAGCCACAAGTGGCAGAATATACCCCGGATGATCTGAGGGTGGGTTTCAGCACCTTTGAATGCTGTAGAAGAACCTTCAGAATCCAGTTCTTCCTTTCCAGCCTGCCTACTGCCTCTTCCCCAGGCTACCCCACACCCTTCTTCCCTCCGTCACACACACACACACACACGCGCTCTCTCTTCTCTCTCTCATTCACTCTCTCTCATAGCTTTCTCTATTCATATGAAACCATTTCCAAGTTGTCCTTTGCAGGCCATAATCCAGAATGGATGCACATTCCTCTCACACGGGGCTTCCTCTGCTCCCCTTGATTACACATGTATTCTTAATGTGTCAGTCAGGTGCCTCCTTTGGAAAGCTCACCCTCCCCTTTTCTGTCTCCAGAACTGGTTCTGTAGTCAGAGCCTAGGTAGAATGCAGTTTTATTTGCACATCTGTCTGTGGGTTGGAAATCAACTTCACTCTCTATATTCTGCGCCCCGGTGCACTTCTGTCTGCTGGGAGGGACCCCCTTGTCCCATTCACTCACGGGCACATGGGCAGATGGTGACTCTGCCTCCTTTTTTCTCTCCTGCCATCCTCAGCATCCGTTGCAGTGACTGACAGTAAGGTTCCTGGAATGTGTGAGGGATGAAAGGTGTTCTTTCAGCGAGAACTCTGCCTGAAGCTGTTTTCCATGCAGGGCAGCACATGGGCTTGTGCTTAGGTTTTCTTGGTCCTAAATTGGGTGGTTGAAGTGATTTTTAGATGTCGTCTTGGTTACTTGGGAGACTGGGTGGGTGTGACTTCGTGGGTGGCAGTAGGGATCTGTCCCAGCGTGTAGTGGCCCCTCCAACTGTGGCTGTTCGGGGCGCTGGGGTTTCCCCTAGAGAGAACCGGATACACATGATGGAGAAAGAATCTCATAGGCACGTGTGCTGGGATTAGTGGACTAGGGCAAAATGCTGTTTCTGAAACAGTAATTTGTTGTCGTTGTTAAGTGATGTCGAATCGACTATGATTCATAGCAACCCTGTGAACAACAGGTCTGAACCTCGTCCCATCCTGTGCCATCCCATCATTCCTATGCTGCACAGGTCCACTGCAGTTCGAGTCCCTGTGTCAGCCCATCTTTTCAGGGTCTTCTCTCTTTCTCTGACCCTTCTACCTTTTCCAGCATGCTGACTTTCTTTAAGGACTAGTTCCTCCTGATAATAGACCCTTGTTAGACGAGATGAAGTTTCACAATCCTTGTTTCAAAGGAGCGCTCTGATTGTTCGTTCGTTTTTTTGGTTTTTTTTTTTGCTGAGTACAGTGCACTTTATTGATGGTACATGACAAGATGGGCTCTCCAAGCCCCTCCCCCCTCTTTCGGGGGAATTGGATAGAAACTCTTGTCAAGGATGTGAGATTCTCAGTTTCTCACTGTGTGGGAGGATCGAGTTGGGGCAAGGCTCTTATTCTTTGGAGGCCATGTGAACCATCAGGTCAACCACCCAGTTGCTGTAGCCAAATTCATGGTCATACCAGGAAATGAGTTTGACAAAGTGGTCGTTCAGAGCAATGCCAGCCTCAGCATCAAAAGTGGAAGAGTGGGTGTCACTGTTAAAGTCACAGGAGACAACCTGGTCTTCAGTGTATCTCAGGATGCCCTTGAGGGGCCCTTCTGATGTCTGCTTTGCTACTTTCTTGATGTCACCATTTTTGGCAGCTTTCTCCAGTCGGCAGGTCAGCTCCACTACTGACACATTAGGGGTGGGGACACGAAAAGCCATGCCGGTAAGTTTCCCATTCAGTTCAGGGATGACCTTACCTATGGCCTTGGCAGCACCAGTAGATGCAGGGATGATGTTCTGGGCAGCTCCATGGGTATCATGCCACAGCTTTCCAGAGGGGCCATCCACAGTCTTCTGGATGACAGTGATGGCATGGACTGTAGTCATGAGTCCCTCTACAATGTTGAAATGTTCATGGATGCCCTTGCCCAGGGGAATCAAGCGGTTGGTGGTGCAGGAGGCATTGCTGACAATCTTGAGAGAGTTGTCATGCTTTTCATGGTTCACGCCCATCACAAACATGGGGTTATCGGCAGAAGGAGCAGAGATCATTACCCGTTTGGCACCACCCTTAAAGTGAGCCCCAGCCTTCTCCAAGGTTGTGAAGACACCAGTGGACTCCACAACATACTCAGCACCAGCATCACCCCACTTGATGTTGGCGGGATCTCGCTCCTGGGAGATAGTGATAACTTTCCCATTGACGACCAGCTTCCCATTCTCAGCCTTGACAGTGCCGTTGACCTTGCCATGGATGGAATAATATTGGAACATATAGACCATGTAGTTGAGGTCAGTGAAGGGATCATTGATGGTGACAGCATCTACTTTGCCAGAGTTAAAAGCAGCCCTGGTGACCAGACGCCCGATGCGGCCAAATCTGTGTACTCTGACCTTCACCATCGTGTCTCAGGGATGCGGCTGAAGCTGCACGAGAAGAGAGGGCAGTCTGGATCGACGAGGAGCAGAGAGCCTGATTGTTCTTTCTTGAAGACAGATTTGTTCTTTTGGCAGTCTGTGCTGTATTCAACACTCTTCTCCAACACAACTCAAAGGCATTGATTCTTCTGTCATCCTTATTCATTGTCCTACTTTCAGATATGTAGGAAGCAATTGAAAAAAGCCCCATGGCTTGGATCTGGCACACCTTAGTCTTGAAACTGACATCTTTGCTCTTTAGAACTCAGTGAAGGTCCTTGACACCAACAGTGTTGATTGTGGAACCAAGCAAGCTGAAGTTATCAACAGTTTCAGTCTCTTCTCTGTCCATCATGAAGCTGCCAATTGGCCCAGTGGTGAGAATCTTTTGTCTTCTTGATGTTGAACTTCAATATTGAAGACTACTACGGTCCTTGACCTTCTACAGAAAATGCCTCATGTTTCAGCAGGCAAGGTTGTGTCATCTCCATAATTCAGGTTGTTGATGAGTCTTCCTCCTATCCTGATGCCACCTTCCTCCTCATGAAGTCCAGCTTCCTGAATGATCTGTTCTGCATATAGATTGGAGAGTGTGGATACAGGATTACATCCCTGATACACACCTTTCTTGATCCTGAACCATGTGTTGTTTCCCTGCTTTATTCTGCTTCCTGGTCCAAGTAGAGGCTTCATATGAGCACAATTAAGTGTTCAGGGATCCCCATTTTTCTCAAGATTAGCCACACAATCTGTTTGATCGACACACTCAAATGTCTTTGCCTAGTCAATGAAATGTAGAAAAATATTCTGATATTCTCTGCTTTCATCTGTGATCCATCTAAGGTTGGCTGTGATGTCCCTAGTGTCACAGCCTCTTCTAAACCCAGCCTGCATGTCTGGCAGTTCTCTGCTGATGTACTATTCCAGTCGTCTCTGGATAATCTTCAATAGAATCTTGCTTGTGTGTGGTATTAGTGATATTGTTCGATAATTTCCACATTCTCAGGTGCCCTTTTTTTGGAATGGGAATAAATAGGGATCTCTTCCTGTCAGCCGGCCTGGTGATTGTCTTGTAAAATTTTTTGTGCAACTTCATGAACATATCCAGGGCAGCTTCTGTTTGCTGAAATATGTCAGTTGGTATTCCATCAGTTCCTGGAGCCTTGTTTTTTGACAATTCCTTCAGAGCAGTTTGAATTCCATTTATCAACATGTTGTTATGTGTCATCTAGTCACTCACAACTCATTGTGACCCTGTGTACAAAAGCCCTGAAACCTGCTCTGTCCTGTGCCAACTTTACTGTCTCTGGCGCGCCTACCCTCATTTCCCCAGTCACTGCATCAATCCCTTGATGATCTCCCTCTCTGTCTCTGTACCTCCTCCCTTCCCTCCTTGCAACATGCCCACTGTATGTCAGACGAAGCCTCAGAATCCTTGCCTCCAAGGAGCAGCCTGGCTTCACCCTTTCTAAGACAACCTGTTTGTTCTTCTTCTGGCAGTCCATAGGATATTCAGCACTCTTCTCCAGCACCATAGCTCAGAGGCATCATTTCTCTATCATCCCTAGTCATTGTCCAACACTCTGATACATAGCAAGCAATTGCAAAGTCTGTGGCCTGGATTAGGGACATCTTAGTCTCCAGACGGACATTGTTACTCCTCAGTACTCTGGAGAGGTCCCCGACAGCTGACTTTCCCCACTGCAATTCGTCTTTTGATTTCCTGGCTGCTGGTACCAAGAGTGTTGACTGTGGAGCCAAGCAAACTGAAGCTGTTAACAATCTCAGTCTCTGCACCATCTACCATGATGCTGCCAGTCGGCCTAGTGGTATGAATCTTTGTTTTTTTGATGTTGAGCTTCAGTCCATATTGAAAGCTGCAGTCTTAGACCTTCTGCAGCAAAGTGCTTCAGGTCCTCCTCAGTTTCAGCAAGCAGGATTGTGTCATCTGCATAACGCAGGCTGTAAATGAATCTTCCTCCAATCCTGATTCACATTCCTCTTCATACAGCCCAGCCTCCTAGGTAATCTGTTCTGCATATAGATTGAAAAGGTATGAAGATGGAATACATCCCTGGCGTACATCCTTCCTGATTTTGAACCATGAAGTGTCTCCTTGCTTTGAACACCATAGGTTTCTTTATTTTCAACTTTTGCATTCCAGTAACCACTTATTATTACTGCATCTTGATTGTATACTTGATAAATTTCAGACTGTAAAATACAGTTGTTATTAGTATTGTTGTGTACTGTTGAGTTGGAAGCCATCCACAGCTGACCCTCTGGTGTGTTTTCAGAGGCAGGTAACTGCTTGGGAGGAGACTTCTCAGCCTGCAGAGCAGCCGGTGGATTCAAACTGCTGGCCTTTGGGATGGTAGCACGGCTTCTTACCACCAGGCCACCAGAGCTTCCTGAAGATGGGGAAATCCTCAATTTCTACCATCTTTCCTTGATTGGTGCATGTATTCAGTAATACTTGTAATACTTGTATGCGTATGGATAGTACCCTGTCACTCACAGCTTTGTACTTGAGGTTAGAACTTGAAGTGTTCTTCTCAACAATTTATCCTAAAGTGACAGAGAGCAGAGTTAAACTAAGAAAGGAAGAAAAGGGACTTCTGGTTTGATTCATTTAGGTTAGTTGTGCTAGGAGATAAGGATTGAAGATCCCAATTTATTTAGGGAAAAAAATCTTTTTTTCCATGTAGGAGTTACTTGCATTTTAAGTTGATACAAAAGTCTTTAAAGTTCTCTAAAATGTCTGTGTACTATCTTTAGAAACAAACCCTGATTATTGTTGTTGCCATTGAGTTGACCCTGAGATGACCCCACGTGGGCAGAGTAGAACCGTCTGTGATAAAGTATCCAAGACCATGGCTTTCAGGAGCAGATCACCAGCGCTTATTTCCGACACACTTTTGGGTGCCTTTGAATTCTCAGCCTCTCAGTTCACAATTCAGGGCTTTACCACTGGTGCCATCTACTCCTGAGACTGTGTGGGGGTGATCTGGAGGTATTTTTCAAACTCTAATAAGTATATGTGCCATTTCACAGGAATATAGAAACTTGTGGTTTAAAAAAAACCTCCCATTTGTAGATAGCAAAAGGACTTTAGAGTTACGTGGAATTCTTCAATCTCTAGAGTTGTAAGTGTGGGAGTCGCTTTAGAGAACGTATTGGCCAGTGTTCCCCTTTTGGGGGGAAGGAAGGGGAATACCAGAGATAAGCCCAGAAGAGCCCCAGCAGCCTGGGTAGAGCAGATGACGCAACCTTGCTTGTGGAACGTGAACAGGACTTGAAAATCTTATTGAATAAGAACAAAGAATACAGCCTTCAGTGTGGACATATCTAAAAATAAAAAAAAAACAAACCAACCCAGTAATCTTCACAGCTTGAGCAATAGTAACGGCATGAAAAATGGAGAAAAAGACTGAAATTGTCCTGGATTGACTTTGATTCGCAACACCCAGGAAAGTGAAAATCAAGAACTCCAAAGTCATGTGGCCTTGGGCAGATCTGCCAGGGACCTACCTCTTCAAAGTGCTAAAGAGCTGATACACTGTTTTACAAACGAAAATGTGCGTCACCTAAGCCATGATGAGTTCAATATGCATGTGAGAAAAAGTAATAAACAGTAAGGAAGACCAAAGAAGAATTGATGCCTTTGAGTTGTAGGTGAAGAGAATGGATAGACTAGGGACTGGCAAAAGACGGAACAGGTTTGTTCATTTGGGAGAAGTACAGTGGGGATGTCTTTAGAAGCCGAGATGCTAAGACTTCATCTCACATTCTTCAGGCATCCTGTTAGGAGGTTCTGATCATTGAAAAACTGGAGGGTCAGCGAGAAACAGCAAGTCCTGCAATGAGATGGATGAAATGGTGAGTTTGAGCTCACAGAGATCACAAACACGGGGCAGGATTGGGCTGGGCTTAGTTCTTTCTTATGCCATGGTGTTTTTATGACTGAGCACCGTCTTGAAATCCCCTAACAATAACAACAACAACATCATCATCATCATGCTGGACCATGGCCAGAATGAACGCTTGGATTTCCTTGCTACTTTTTCAAGAGCCTAAAAGCATTCTTTCTCTTCTGTAGTTGGCTGGAGCTGGGCAGTCTTGAAGTTTGAGATAAAAATCTCAAGATTTCAAGGTTAGAGAAGATTGGCAGCACCCAGCACACTGCCCGGTGTAGCGAGGGCACGTGTTGCATAGTCACTGAGTGAAGGGGTCAGTGAATAAGCCCGCTGATAAATAGCTGACTTATTTAAAGCACTTATTAATGCACTGTTATAGTTCAAAGGAAACTCCTTTGGAGCCTATTACAATGGAATTTGGTCAGGTGTTTTTATTCCCCAAGAGAAGTAAAAAGTATTAGATCAACATAATAGAAGGATCTTTAGAAACAGAATCATATATTTAGAAATACTGACATGTTGTTAAGTGCCATTGAGTCACCTGTGACTAAT